AAAAAAAAAAGAATTCACCACGGACTTCTTTTTGCCTGGAACCGCCGTCTTTTAGTAATCAGCCAAAATGACGAACAAAAAGGGAAAGAAGCGAGGCACCCGCTGTATGTTCTCTAGGCCTTTTAGAACACATGGGGCTGTTCCTTTGGCCACATACATGCACGCCTACAAGAAAGGTGACAGATTTGATGCATTAAACATCAAGGGAATGGGCACAGTTCAAAAAGAGATGCCCTACAAATGTTACCACGGCAAAACAAGAAGAGTCTACAGTGTGAGCCAGTATGCTGTTGGCATTGCTGTCAGCAAACAAGAATGGATGTGTACATGAAGCACTCAGCCTTCCTGAAACATGAAGGAAAATGATCAGAAGTTGAAAGAAACCAAGGAGAAAGGTACCTGGGTTCCACTGAAGCGCCAGCCTGCTCCCCCCCAGAGAGGTGTGCTTTTGGACAACCAATGGGAAGGAGCCTATTCCCTATGAATTAATGACAGAACAGGAGTAAAATAAAGATGTCTGAGATGTTTAAAAAAAAAAAATCACCATGGGCCATGGGGAAGGAAACACACTGTCAATTGTAGCTCGAAACTATCTGGAGAAACAAGCGAATAATAAACAAAAAAGAAAGAAAAGAATGATTTACATTTAGGCAAAAACATATAAAGACTGAATATAAACCAAGGTTCTAGAAATTCCTTAAGGACCAAGAGTTTAGATGACTTTTATTTTGGTCTGTAGGAAGCATCTTTGCTATAGGGGAAAAGTTAGGGTAACTGCTGACATCTTTGCTACTATGTATTAGAGGTTACGTTACCATGGTGAACATCTGGTTATCTTTCATTTATTCCCCTTTAAGGACTTAATAAGGAATGGGAAAGGAAACTGTTTACTTTCCACATTGTACTGACAGACTTGGATTCTGCTTGCATACTAAAGTGTGTGTGGGTATGTAAGTATTCATTACAAGTGTGTATTTATTATTTGTACATTCTTCACATCTAAGTATCTGGTGACACCTTAAGGTTCAACAGACCTTACTAATTTTCTGCTCTTTTGAAGGCATTGTGGAGTTAATGTTGGCACCAAATCAAAGAAGTACAGGTACAAAGGCTGATGACTTAATGAAAGAAACAATTGAGAAATATAATGGAAATACGGGGATGTGTACTGATAGGACACAACCTTACCTGTTGAAAGCAAAGAAGATTTGAAGGATTTACTGATGAACATCAATGACTGTAGCTTTCAATATGAATTGCACCTCAACATAAAGAAAAAACCCTCACAAGTGGACCAGTAAATACCATCATGATAAGTGGACAGTAGATTGAAGTTGTCAGGGATTTCATTTCAGTTGGCTCCACAATCAATGCCCATGGAAGCAGCAGTCAGGAAATCAAATGACATACTGCATTTGGGCAAATCTGCAAATGATCTCTTTGATGTGTTCAAAAGGAAACATGTCCGTTTGAAGGACTAAGGTGTGCCTGACCAAAGCCGTGGTATTCTCAGTCATTTCATACACATGTGAAAGCTAGTCAGTGAATAAGGAAGACTGAAAAAGAATTGATACATTTGAATTCTATTTGTTGAATGAGTGAAGAAACACTCTAGCTGAAATCATATACTTAGAACATGTCATTAGGAGGGACCGGTCTTTGGAGAAGGGCATCACACTTGGTAAAGGAGAGGGTCAGCAAAAAGAGGAAGTCCCTGAATGAGGTGCATGGACACAGTGGCTGCAGCAGTGGGCTCAAAGGTAGTGATTGTGAGGATGGGGCCGCACCAGGCAGGAGTTGGCTCTGTTGTGCATAGGCTTGCTATGTGTTGGAACTGACTCCATGACATCTACTAACAGCAACATCCAGTAGAGCTTTTTTGAGTTGTGACTTTTGGTTTATGCTTTCTGGGTCACATGTGTGGGTTTATACTCTGGTTCATCTCTAAAGGTAGATAGGTTGGAGACTTATTTCCTTCCTAGTTGTTTTATCACCCCAAACT